CACGCACGACAACGCCGACGCAGCTGACGTTGTCGAAAGCGACGAAAGCTTCCCGCTGTCAGTCATGCATCGGCTTGTCGCTGGGTGGATAGTGTTTATGACAGTACGGCTGAAGAAAAATAATCGCGTAAGGTGTGTTGAATAAATTGTTTTTATGTGTAATTAACATACCAGATTTGGGTGAATATTTATTAATTTGTAAAAACAATTTTGTTGCATCGATTATAACTGTTTTTTTTTGCGCTTGCGTCTTCTGACGTTTGGTGAGAGCACTAGTTTGTTACGTAATTGTGACGCACTTCCTAAGGCCAGGTTTCGTGGAGTGTCCTCTCTTGTCTTTTTCTTTCTCTATGCCTAGTTCTAGAAACGTTGCAGGAGACGCTGCGGTTGTAAAACCACAAGGGAGCCTACATAAACGGCCGTTTTTAGGGTGGAGACATCTTAATAAGTGCCTTCAAGAAACTCAGCCAAAACCAGCTGGCAACGGGGCACGCTGTTGCCAGCTTCCACCAAATTCAGCATAGTTTTCTGTGCGCCGCCATTTTGAAGCCAGCCGCCGCTCCCTCCAGCTACGCGAAGTACGGCGCAACAAAAAGGACAAACAGCTAGAATTTGATTCGGCTGGACTATTCAGCATTATTGTAGGGAGGCGACCGAGCATGTATACCTACGTACGGCGTCGGTGCCCAGCCCTTGTAACAACACACAACACCTGGGCTTTTGACAGCGGCGGTTCTCAGGGTCGTGTAAGCGACCCAGTTCTCAAAGTGAGCGCACGAAGAAATTCGCAGCCCACACATAAACACTTGCGACATAATACTGAGGTTACGCTGACAAGAACGCAAGCGAACAGCTCAGACTAGCGAGTGCGTCTCCGTACGAACGCGTCCCGTTTGAGGGCTTCCTACTCGCAATGCGTGGACGCAGCAACGACAACTTCGGTTATCTACTCATTCGCGAACACCGCGAAACACATATACGTGTGCCGCAGGAAAAAACAGTGAACGAAATACGCAGTACTCACAGAGCAAATACGAGGCGCACTGGTGGGCTCGCAGCCGTCTCGCTTCACTTGAGCCAGCCATAGTTGTCTTCGGCCAGGGCTCGCTGGGAAGCGGAACATTCGCACCCCCTTTCTGTTGTGGTTAGTGCAGAGCGGTACGCAGCATCCAGGCATTCTAAGGCTTCACCGGCAGTGTTTAACACGCTACCGCAACGTTCGACGCCGTATTATTCAGAACTAAACGCAACCGGGCGTAGACGCAGTGCGGGCACCAAGATGGGGCGACAGCGCGGCGTTACTGTCTAGCAACATTGTGTTTTGGCGGGCGGCGGTGCGTTGGCGGCATGTAGTGGGTCAAAGGCTGACATCACCCTAAAAACGGCTGTTCATGTAGGCTCCCTAAAAACCACGCACTTGCAGTGCTTCCTGTGTAAAAATCTGTGCCGGGCAGACCGCCGTCGGGGGGCCGTCGAACGCCACTTTTCTCTGCTGCCGCTAAGGGTGCTGGGTAAACAGGGTGCCGCTGCTGCCATTCCGTCCGGGTGTTGCGCGTGCAGCCCGTTCAGTGGTGCGCAACTTCGTTTTGTGGGACAGTTTTCGGCCAGTACGTGCGTAGAATGCTTTACGATGGCCTACTCCTGTGTTCCGCTGTGCAAATCGGACGAGAAAAAGAAACCAGCAGGGCTTCCCTTTCATGAACTACCCGCTGACGCAGACGCTCGAGCGCGCTGGCTTGCCGCAATACGACGAGACAAGTGGTGGCCGAACACCACCTCATGCTACACCAAAGTATGCAGTCGCCACTTCAAAGAAGAGGACTTCATCGAAGGCAAGCGGCGACGCCTAAATAATGGGACTGTGCCGTCAGTTTTTGAAGAATACCCGCCCCATCTCCAGCCGAAATAGACTCCGGCGCGAAATACAGCAAGCATCGACAAACGAGTGAGTGCTACATGGCACGCAGCGACTCCGCGAGCGGCAACGTTGCTTCAGCAGTGGAGGATATGTCGGATTGTTGCGCTATGGACACATCGTCGGAGGCCAATTTGCGTGATCAAGGCGTCCAGGTAGCCAGCAGGTCAACTTCAATTAAGTGTGCTTGTCGCAGAGAAAGCGAAGTGGAGAAGAAAAGAAAAGTAATGGAGGAGCCAGCTGCTTCGGCTGCAACAGACCATCAACAAGTACAAATTGGAATTGAAAAAGCTGCACGAGGACGCCCTGGTTGCGGATGTTTCTTACATCAAGGAAAGGGCGAAAGAAAAGGCACCCGCAGCTTTATTCTTGATTGATCAGATTGAAAACTTCAAGATGAAGAGGCCCAGCTGGTCTGAGGAGACAACCCGACGTTGTGTAGTTTTAAGGCATTTGTCGACAAGGGCGTACGAACACATCCGCGGATAAATGCTTTTGAAGCTTCCTTGCAGAATGACTTTGAGCAACTACTTGGGAACCACCAGTGGAGAAACAGGCCTCAGCAAACTCGCCGAAGCTCGCCTTAGAGTAGAAGCCGAGAGCTTGACTGTACCACAGTCAAGGGTGTGTTCAATCATAGTCGACGAAATGAAGATCAGGGAAAAGCTGCAGTACAACAAACAGCAGGACTGCTTTGTGGGGCACGCAGATGTCTCTTTGGAACAACACGGTGGGGACCTCACCTTAGCAAACTTTCTTCTCTGCTTCCTAATTACAGGACTCTCGACGTCGTATCGCATTCCAGTGGCGTACTATTTTAGCATGGGGTTAACAGGCCCACAGCTTCACAAGTTGTTGATTTTTTTGCTTGAATGAGTAGAAGCCTGTGGTTTCAGGGTAGTTCGCTTAGTGAGTGATAACCACAGAGTGATCGCCAATGCCATGACACTTTTGGGCGATGGTCGTCTTACGTACCGGATAGAACATCCCTGTGACTGTGACAGGCTCCTCTTTTTAAGTTTTGATCCATGCACGTTTTTAAAAAAAAAAAACGTGCGTTCGCAGTTTCCAGCCCGCGACATTGGTCCGAAAGGAGAGGTCTCGTCCTGCTACATCAAGAATCTCTACGACCTACAGAAGGACTTGGTTGTAAAGCCTGTCCGCTACCTTAGCCGAAAACATGTCTGTCCGAATAACATAAAAAAACGAATGTCGCAAGGGCAATTCAGGTCTTCTCGCCTGATGTTACTGCAGCCCTGGAGCATCTCAGAGACCAAGCTGGGCATACATCGAGTGTATCATTCGCAGCTGCAGGCCAGACCATCTTTTTCATGCAAAACATCCATCGTTGGTTCGTGCTGCATGATACAAGTAATACGACCCAGCACATCCACAAGAAATGGCTGACACTCGGCAATTTGACGATACTGAATATGCAAGACTGGAGTGGCTCGAGGTTACGCTGCCCGTGTACTTGGATGAACTGGAAAAAAGCCGTCGAAGTCAAAAGGATTTTTTGACGAAAGAAACGTATGGAGCATTCCTCCTGACCACGTATTCCACAGTTGCCTGTATCAAGTACCTACTCAAAAAGGAGGAGTTCTTGTTTGTGCTCACTCGTAAGTGACCCCATTGAGTCGCTGTTTGGAACACTGCGGATGTCCTCTGGCTGCAATGACATGCTGAATGTTCGTTCTGTTTTGCAAGGGCTGGAGAAGGTTTTAAAAACTGGACTAGCTGCATCCAGCATGACATCAAACGCTGCACACAGAAAATGGGCCCAAATGTCAACAGGCACACTGCTCACTGAAACTTCTCCTTCGCTAGCACAGCAGCCGCCTCAGCTATACAGAGAGCTACATGTGCTTTGCAACGGATCAATGCAACAGTCTTGCCTCAGCACTTGCCATCCCTTGAAATTTCTGCAACTGTTTATGTTGGGGGCTATATTGCCCGTGTCATAAACGAGAACATGTGTTGTGGAAGTTGCACTGCAGTCTGCACAAAGCCAGCGAGCAACCAACCTATCTTGCAGTTCACTCGCAGCCAGGACCGAGGTGGGCTACTTTACCCGTCAGACCAGTTCACGTGCTGAGGACATTTGCGGATCGTGCTCTGAAGGACAATCCGACTCTAAAAAAAAGCCATTTTCTACCCTGGTTAAGTAGGCTGTACCAGCACTGTGTGCTTCAAACTTGCTCAAGTGCAAGGAGATAGATGACACTCACAGAGCTAAGCTCATGGAGCTGATATCTGTTCGGTTTTTGCGGCCTCTGCTGGTGAACTATGCATTCACTGTCAGTGACAAGCATGATGCTTTCAAGTACATCGCGAAAAAGCCCCTGTCAAGAAAATATGCAAAACTGTGAGGCTACCGAAAATAGAGGTACTTACAAATAAATGTTCCTTTTTTTCGTATCGCATCAATTGGGTTCATTTTGCAGAATATAGAGCTGCTATGCATGGCAAGTCAACGTTGGAAATTTATGTACATTATGTCCAAGCATGTAGGTCTGTGCGTACGCGGCGTGTTTTTGATATTCATTTAGCGAGGCGTTGTTCGCTTGCGGCTAGTACGTGAAAGCTGGCAACCAGATCTCTGAAACACTCGGTAACATAATTCAGCGATTACAGCCGCGATATATTGAGGTTTGAGCGCAGAACATTAAGGATTTAATCTGTGTAATTTTGAGTGCGGCGCCAGAACCACGGCGGCTGCGGCACGTAGCAAACTCCGGCACCCTGTTTAGGCAGCGGCACCTGGTGGCGAGGCGCCGCACTCGCGCCGACGGAGTAGTTCGATTGTTCTCTTCCGCTTTTACCGGGCACTGAAAGTTATAAAGGAGGCACTGGCACTTGCCATCTTGGAGGCTTGTTTTGAGCTGAGAGTTTCTGGGGCTCTCAAGCAAAGTTTCCCAAAACAAAAAAAAAAATGAGCGTCTTTTTTTTTCTGCAATATGATTGGTGACTTGCAATTCTACTGTGATTACTCTTGTTTAGACGCTGTTGAAGCCTCCACTGTACATCCACCAACGAAGAAAAGCACACGGCAGTATGAGCAGGTCATAACGGCAACACTGGTTTTGCGCGCTTTTCCAGGCTTTTCTTTCTCCTCCGTGTCTTTCTCCGTGTTGGCGCTTCTGTTCGAACCTGGTCCGACGTTATTGTGGCACGCTGACTGCCCTTCTCCGACAAGTGCTCAATGGCGAAAAACACTCTTTTTTCATACTTCACCAAGGTCCCAAAACACGACAGTGGTACTTCGGCGAATGCAGAAGGTGAAAGGTCGTCGCTGGGAGCAACTGGTAACTTCTTTTTCTATCAACAGCTGAAAAGAGCGCTTTACTGCCGGGGCTCCAAGCCGCTTGCGTTGCTTTGTACGCCCAGCCGAACCCACGGAGAAAAAACGCAAGTGTTTGCGTACGTGGGCCGCTTGAGGACACCTGCATTTAAACTTTCCTTATAATGATACCGTACTTGCGCGTGGCTAGCTAACACGCGGAGATGGGGTGCAGCTAAGTGCGCGCATGCTTTGCGGATGCGAAGTGGGTATGCGTTGCTTGACAGAAAGGAAAAACGGCGCTGATACGACGAGTGCTGAAAAAAATTCAAGTACTCGGCCAATCCTGTGCATTGGGTATGAGCCATGAGATGACAGGGAAGGAATGATTTCGCGGGTTTCAAACACGGGGCACTTCAAGATGTCCGGAAGGGCCCGCTGCAACGAGGTAGCACGTGTAACGAATTATTACCTGTGAGACACTGGGCTGTGTGACATTTGGTGGGCGGACCCCTACAGTTTACGAGTCGAGCTCTGCCTATTGCCCATTTTTCAAGCATAAAGCGCGTGAGCATCGTTCACTGCCCCAGAGTCACGTTGTCCGGTTCTCGGAGCAGAGCCTGTCGGAATTCACAGGACTGTTCATCGCAGGCGCATGGCGCGTAATCTTGTTCATTTCGCCGCCGTGCTGAAACCAACATCATATATAGAAAGAGCGTCGTAATAGCTTTTCGTCTAGTTCGTTTAAAAAAAAAAAAAGCTTGACCTTGTCACGATGAGCACGAAGCGTGCATGCTTTAAGACCACGACTGTAAGACGCTATACGAAGGGAGGGTAATTTTACGGGCAAGATGGGATAGTTGGTATATGTTCGTATTACAAAATTCTGAATGAAACTCGCTGAAAACGGCGAAGTGCTGTCCTATCCACTTCTACTGTCCACAATTTTCGGCATGCTTCATCCTGAATGTTGAAAGAATTCTAAGGGCTTGTTTTTTTTTAGCGGACACAACACTGATTAGAACTGAGAGACAAATCAAAGAAATGTGTAGGGCTTTTGTGTCTGTTTTCTTGGCCTTTTTGTCTGCTCTAAATGTGTCTCACCATGTAGCTGTGTGTGTGTAGTGAAATGGGAGTGCGGGAACAGACAAACGCACATTGTCCTTGTCCAATGTCTTTTCCCATGTTGGCAATTTGCTGAACAAATATGAAGTACCAATTATCCCATCTATTGATCCTTTTGCAGTGTATTGTGTGGTTGTAATGTATGATGCATCACCAGAAAAAAAGAAAATCTTGCGCAACTGCAGCACCATGGGTGGATGGATGGATGGGTTTATATGGCTGTACCCTTTAGATCGGGCGGTGGCCAATGCCACCTAGCCGTAACACTTATGGTCTAGCTAAGCCACCATGGATGGATGGATGTGGCTGTACCCTTTAGATCGGCGGCGGCTAACGCCACCTAGCTTTAATACTTAGTGAACTAACCATTAGATTTATTTTTTTTTTCCCCTTTAAATAGTGAGGTTGAGGATTGGTACTTTGCTGTGAAGGGTTTAATTTTCACTCATGCCTTGACCTTAGCCACCAATCAGATAACCTCCTTCTAGTTAAGTCTACCCGCTTGAAGTCTATTTTGCCCTCCCTCTCCCTAAACCCCAGTGCTTTGAAAAACTCTGCGCAATCATCCTGAACTATAGGGTGAAGCCCTTTACAGAACATTATGAAGTGTTTGGCAGTTTCTTCTTCTTCTCCACACACACTGCGTACTGTGTCTACCCCTTCGTATTTGGCCCGAAATGTCTTGATTCGCAATACTCCCATCCTGGCCTCAAACAGTAGAGAACTACCCTGAGTATTATCATAGATCCTTTCCTTGGCAATTTTCTGCTTAAAAGTTCGATAGATCTTTAGTGCGGACTTCTTAATCGTGCCAATGCTCCACATGTCAGTCTCCGTTTCCTTCACTTTCTTCTTAAGCGATGGTTTTTTTGGTTTGGCCACCTGCTGTTTTTTAAGTATTTACCAGAAAATTTCCTGGTTAGCTTCCTCCATTTTGTATCGACATTCTTCATGTACAAGTAGCTGAAAACCTTCCTAGCCCAACGCTCGTCCCCCATTTCTCTCAATCGCTTCTCAAATTTTATCTTGCTGCTGGTTTCCCGGCCCTCAAATGATGTCGATCCCATATCACCATGTACTCCCTGATTTGGTGTATTTCTGTGAGCTCCTAAAGCAAGCCTACCTATTTCGCGTTGCTTAATTTCTAATCTTGCTTGAACTTCTGATCTCATGCACAAGACCGCAGTGCCGAACCATGACCCCTTTCCATATATTCCTCTCACAACATCATACCTATTGTAATAATTCCACAGTGACCTATTTTTCATCACTGCTGCATTCCTGCTACCTTCAGTTGTCACGTATATTTCGTGTTCCCTTAGTACTCGGCCCCATTGCTTATCCATACGCCCAGATATTTGTATTTATCTGTTATCTCTAGCATGACCTCCTGTATTCTAAACTCACTACCTTCGTTGTCATTAAAAATCATGACTGCTGATTTTTCCTTACTGAATCTAAAATCTAACCTATCTCCCTCATTACCGCAGATGTCCATCAATCTCTGCAAATCTTCCTTGTTGTCCGCCATTAGCACTATATCATCTGCGTACATTAATGCTGGTAGTGCCTGATCAATGAGTTTTGCTTGTTTGACAAAAGAGAGGTTGAAGCTAAGTTCACTTCCTTCTAATCTGGCCTCTAATCCTTGTAGGCACATCATGAAAAATAAGGGTGACAGTGGACACCCCTGCCTAAGTCCCCGTTTCACCTCCCTGGGCTTGGATACCTGTTTTTCCCACTTTATAACTACATTGTTACTTTTATAGATTTCCGTTGAAAGATTAGTGACTCCATCTTCCACACCCAGTGTGTCTAGTATTCCCCACAAGTCCTCTTGAACCACGCTATCGTATGCTCCCTTGATATCCAAAAATGCTAGCCACAGGGGCCTGAGTACCTTTTCTGCTATTTCGATGCACTGCGTCAGTGAGAACAGATTGTCTTCCAACCTCCTGTGTTTCCGAAACCCATTCTGCAGTTCCCCCAGCACCCCCTCTATCCATGCCTGCAGTCTTTCCTTGATAATCTGCATCGCCCGCTTGTAGACCACTGATGTCACTGTTATAAGACGGTAGTTGTTTATGTCATCTTTGTCCCCCTTTCCTTTATAGATCATGGTCATCCTGCTAAGTTTCCATCCATCAGGGACTTCACCATCGATTAATGTTCTGCTCACTGCCTCTCTCAAAGTCTGTTTAGACTTCGGACCCAATGTCTTTATCAGCATAATTGGAATGGCATCTGGGCCTGTCGATGTACTACTTGGAATCCTCTTCTCAGCCCTTTCCCACTCGTGAAAATGGAGCCATTGTGCCACTTGATCCATCCTCGTCTATTGTGGTGCATAAGGCACTTCTTTGCTGAAATTGTTTGTCAACCTTGTTCTTATATATTCAATAGGTTCGTCCCCTTCTAGACTAGCACCTTGAGCTGTAGTTATAAACCTCTGCTCTAGGTTTGTTTCATTTCTTAGGGAGTTTAGATGGTTTCAAAATTTCGCAGCTGCCTTTCTGTCCTTTTTATATACTTCTGCCAGCCATTGAGCACCCTTTTTTCTAATCTTTTCATTGATCAGGAGGGATGCTTTTCTTCTAGAGCTTAGAAAGATTTCCCGTTTTCTTTCAACATCATCTGTCGGTTCACCCCGTTGCTTAGCATGTCTGTGTTCCCTAGAGGCTTCCTGACGTTTTGCTATGGCTCTCTTAACTTCCTCATCCCACCATGGTCTAGCTATGCAAGCAGCACCTATGGCAGCAGCTTCTATTGTGTCACAGGAATTTTTATATTGTATTCTGTCGAGATTGGTTTGCTAGAGAAGCTTACCATGTAAAGCGGCCGGGAAGGGACGAGATGTTCTCTATCACATTTGCACACAAAGACGCTATGGCTGGGTGCATCAACATGGAGCAGGAACAGCACTTAGGGCAGCTCGTTAACAAACATGGTGTAGCACAGTGCGGCAGTCACGGGTTGCCAGGCAAACTACAGAAGACAAACTGAGGCACGAGGTCAGCAGCTGAGCGCATGGATGAGAAGCCACCTGGTAGAGCAGGTCGGTCAGCATCTACTACAGCACACGAGCGCTGGGTGAAAGCATGCTATTAGGGGAGGAGGGTTGTCACTGGCAGCCAGCAAGGATAGGCCAAGCTCATTTATGTGGGCTAGTATGACGTGAGGTGTCTAGTTAGGGCAGGTAATAACCGCAGAGTCTAACCACGAGATTGAAGTAACTAGAAGAATAAGAATGGGGTGGAGCACATTCGGCAAGCACTCTCAAATTATGACAGGTAGATTGCCACTATCCCTCAAGAGGAAGGTATATAACAGCTGTATCTTGCCGGTACTTAGCTACAGAGCAGAAACCTGGAGACTTACAAAGAGGGTTCAGCTTAAATTGAGGACGACGCAGCGAGCAATGGAAAGAAAAATGGTAGGTGTAACCTTAAGAGACAAGAAGAGAGCAGAGTGGATTAGGGGACAAATGGGGGTTAAAGATATCATAGTTGAAATAAAGAAGAGGATATAGACATGGGCCGGGCATGTAGCGCGTAGACAGGATAACCGCTGGTCATTAAGGGTAACTAACTGGATTCCCAGAGAAGGGAAGCGGGTTAGGGGGAGACAGAAGGTTAGGTGGGCAGATGAGATTAAGAAGTTTGCGGGTATAAATTGGCAGCATCAAGCACAGGACCGGGTTAACTTGCGGAACATGGGAGAGGCCTTTGTCCTGCAGTGGACGTAGTCAGGCTGATGATGATGATGATGATGATGATGACGACGTGAGGTGAGAACGTTCGCCGGGCAAGCTTGGACATGTGTTTTTGTGCAGAGAATACCGATGCATGTCTTGTGGTGATAGGTTTGCACAAGGCTTACCTACCAAGCGCAACCGTGTAGGGATGCAACGTCCACCGCCTCCGCTGCGTGCGAAGACGCTGCGGCCGGGTTCGTCGATTTCTCCGGCACGGCGCAGAAACCACGCACGAGGCAGGCTAACAACAACAACGGGTTTATTAACCCAAGATGCAGCACAGTGCGACACTCACGGGCTTGCAGGCCGTATAGGGAACTCCGCAAGACCGAGCGAGTACGCTTGCCTAGGGCGCTACGACTCCCGCACAAAGGCCGAAGTCGTACGCACGCACGAGAAGCCGCCTGCTGAGTAGCGCGTCAACCTCTCGTGGAGGCCTCACAGGATCTGCCGCGACAAGTGAATCGCCGGGCGCAACACAGCTCGTAGGAGAGGATGTCACGCGCGCCAAGTGGGAAATGGCGCTACGTTGTGATGTAGGCCCGCGCAGAGCACCAGCGTAGCGTGCTAGGACATGCCAGCGCGTGAAGAAGCCGACAATTGACTGGCCCAGACCAAGAGGCGCCCTGGCAGCCTCTTGGCGGATGCCGGTGCTTATGCGCGCCCGGGCTACGCTGGTGGCGTGCGTGCGGCAGCTGGGGAATGAGGCGCCAGGTAGGAGGGCGCTCTCGATTCCCACAGTCTTGCACCAGACAAAAAGGCCTGGCGGCTAAGCGCCACGGTGGCCATGTCCCTGATGAACGCCAGTGCCAGTGCTGAAGGCCAGTGCAGGCCATGTCGCTGATGTGCCAGAGCACATTTGCTAGCTGAGGAACGAGGCGCCAAAGGAGAGGGCATGTTCGATTCCCACAATTAGCAAAAGTGCCTCGCTTTTACCAATACAAAAGTACTCTTGCTCATTGTAGTGCAGTCAGGATTTGTTCATCAATTGATTTGCGAAGCCACCTTGTATGGCCTGCAATCCGGTGATTGTTGCACACCTTTGGGTAATGAACTTATGTTAGCTTTCCTTGAGTGTCCTTTCTTTGCTATGTTGGTTAACTCTGCCATAGCATCAGTGTGTGCAATGGTCATAGAATGTTGCATCTCAACCAGGCCCTGCTTGCAGGGTAAGCTGTGTGCAAACCTATCTGCACAATTCATATGATGGCTTCGGAACGTTAAACACCAACAATTATATTTAGAATGCCATCTCGATCGCTAGAGTAAACAATTTCACCGGCTGTATAGGCACCATATTTATGTAGAAGAAATGCAAGAAAGGTCGTGGGGAAAATGTTATATCTCCAGCAGCGCGGCATAGCTTGCAGCTAATCGGCGGAAAGGCCTAGCAACGGGAGAGTACGTGGAGACGACACAAGATGGAGCATTCGATTGTGTTTCCTAAAGTTTATTGCATCACATATTAAGTGAGGGTTGATTGCATGATACATAGGGGCATTACACAAGGGTCACGCTTGGTTAGCTAATTTAAAAGCAGATATCAATAGAGATCGGCTCCATCCGGTGGCATTGACAGGTAACATGTCACTCTGGTGCATTTCGCAAAGTATGTATCATCGCTTTCGTTCATTGTGTACCTTTACTATGTACGAAAGCGATGATACATACTTTGCGAATTACTGTGCTCATGTCTTTATGAAATATTCCTTTTTGTTTGTATACCTTGGCCTGTCATTTACTTTGTCTTCTGCTTGAATTGTTTCCTGCTTATATTATTTGTTTTTCTTTTTTCATTTTTATTGTATTTCGTTTTTCACTCTTTCATTGCTGATGTAGGGTGGACGGTGCTGAGTCAAGCTGCAATAACTGCAGCTTTTTTTGCCGTATCCCCATTTTTCGCCATTGTATTTGTTTTGGTGAAAAATAAAAAACTTTGGGAAAAAAAGAAAAAAAAATTGATGTGACACAAAAGGTCACAAAATATAACAGAGCTGTGTGGCAGTGCAGGAGTATAACTAGTACAAAAAAGCCAGTCTCATGTCGTCAATTTGTACCAGCTACAAGCTACCTGCTATTTGTGCCAGCTACCTCTAACTCTGCGATTGCTCGCTCTATGCTGATTGCCCATGGAAAAGATGGATGAGCCAATACCACATGTTTTTCTTTTTTTTTCTCATGTCATAGCTTTGATGTAAAATAGTGTGCATTTCACTAAGTCTACCGTTCATCAATTTTTTCTGTTTCTTAGCTCTTCCATTTTCGACTACTATATTTCTTTTATACACCTTGCTGGAACATGTATGGTAGGGTTGACTGTACCCGGATTTATATGTTTTAGAGTAGGGAAAAAACACGGGGACATTCAAGAATGCATTCATAGAAACTAGCTTGACTTATATTACAAAGAGTCATAGCTTTCTTCAGTTATGCTTCACATGCTAGGACAAGGCTGCAATAATGGTTCAACTTGTGTTCTACCTTTTCATCAGAAAATGGAAACTTTATATCAACTAAATTAAAAAAGTGTGAGGTACAATTTTGCCATTGTGCTTAAGTTATGCATTATGAAGCAGGTGCACGGATATGCTTTTTGCTGACTTTGCGATGCAGGGGTGTCCTGTCCTTACCGTCTTCATGACCTTATTTGGGCCAAACTGGAAGGCTATCCCTATTGGCCGGCCATTGTATCAGCACCTCCTGGGGAAGCCTCATTTCTGAAAGAACACAGTGCACAACAATCGGTGCACGTTAATTTCTTTGACTCATGCCCATCTCGAGCATGGGTCAAGGTAAGGTGAGTCTTGTATTCTGTCGTTAAGCTATTCGTGACAGGCCAAGGACACACCACGATACAATGTACCCTTTTACTTAAGTTGGTGGTTCCATCTTGCCGGTAATGCCGAAAACGACACCAGGCGCCGCCACTAAGTCAGGAATAAAAGGAGAACGCTTCGGAGGTCAAACACCCTAACTTTCGCTGGCCCATCCAGGAAGGGGGAAGCATGCTGTCACGTTCAGTAGAAATAAGGCATTCAGCAGGAGCTTTTTTCTTCCTCCCCTTCAACAACACCTGTATCTCTCCCTCTAAAATTTATGTGCACTTGTCTGCGTCCCCTGCGGCGCTGAACAATGGCGCTGCAAAGCGCTCAAGCTTACTTTTGGTTAGCAGGCTGTCGACCAGTCCTGCCCCACTGGCCAGCTACTCTGCATGACACTCAGTGGCGGAACGCGCGGCTGGCTGACAAACTTTTTTATGGAAGCCACGTTTCAGTCAAACGATGACACATCTTTTGGTGTGCATGTGTAAATAAATCTTCGCTGTCGCTTACTCCTGCCTCATTCAATGCTGGCTTCCATTCGCCAGGCCTGGGCAGAGCATGCAGCATAATCGCAGCGAAACGTGGAAGAGAGATGTTTTGAGAGTTCGTTGTAGATCTCTTGGGGCAATTAGAGGAAGTACTGTAACATACGAAGTGCTCGCCCTCCTTTCTATGTTGGGGCTTTCCGATAAGATTGCCCCGTTTGATGTGCTATTTTGTTTTCTTTGCTTTCTCGCCAACATCTGATTAGCCGCGTAGCGCTTAAAAACTCGTCGCAAACTGAATAAAGCGGGATTTGTCTTCCTGGCACTGCTTGAGTCATCCGTTTCCTGGGCCTGCTGTCTTCCGGCCGCCGAATGCGTAACAGTACCCATGCAAGGTACCCACCATGCTATAGAGCATCGTAATTTTCATTGAGACTCCTCAATGTTTTTAAATTCGCTATGAGTCAGTATTACATGATAGTATAACACGATTGGCTGCCAGACATGACTTTTGTAAAGGGCGTTTTAGTGAAGGAGTTTTAATTTCCAGCATGGCTTTGTGGTATATGGCTCAAATGCCACATAGAGGGCTCAAATTCAAACACTGTGCATTTCTAGAATTTTTTCTGTCTTCATTTTTTTTCTTTAACCTCGGGCAAGAGTGGTTACGGACACTCACAGCAGTAGCGCTGGTATCGAGTGGCTACTTCGCCAAAATTGGCTCTTGACATCTCATTACAACTTTTACTCTAATATATGTTGTGGCTCAAGCACCTATACTGTCACAAGAGCCATGGCTGGGAGAATAGATTGGCTGCTTATCAATGGCTAGGGGAGTAGAGTCGAAACAAAGAACCTGTAGTGGTATCTGCCATTCATTTCGATGCAATCGTTTGACCATGAAAAGCGAGCTTAAGGGCCCGGAACCTTACCTACAGTTAGAGGTGCTCATGCTTTGTTGATTATAATAGTTGGTAAAAGTGACCGACATTCCTATAAATTTTTTTTCTTGTATGACTTTTTTCTTATTTTCTTCGATAGGTAGTTACAGGTGGCAGCAGTAACGGTGGCAGACAGCTACCCCACTGCCATTATGATATAACAGCTTTCGCTGTAAGAATAGTTTGTACGAGTACTAATGTGAAGGGGCACAACTGAATGTAGGAACAGCGCAACCTGGAAGTAGTTACTGCGTAACTACGGAAGCGCAAAAACAAGGATAGAAAAGAGCGCTGGCTTTCAACAAAGATTTAATTATCGAGTGGCGTACATATATAGGTGAAAAAAGTAGAAAATTGGGCATGCGTAGAAGGGTGCAGGAACAACCACTGTGATACAATGTCGGCAAAACTCTTGTCTCTTGTTGAATGAGCTAAAAACAACTACACATGTAGCTTGAAAAAGATCGAGATACACAATCTGTTTTTGCAACAACGCTACCCATGGGCAACTTACACATTTACCGTGAAACTTGTTTATTTGATTGGCTTCAATTATCTGATGCATGGCCTGCGAGTTCTGCTTGCCTAATACCTCGCAACCCTCAAAGAGGGGCACGCAGCCGCAGTCTCGGCAGTAGATTATGAAGTGTTCTTGAACACCATTGTACACATTATTATTGTGCTCTCTTAAACGGTCATTGAGGCACCTTCCGGTTTGTCCCATGTATATCATTCCGCACGATTTGATTTTTAATTTGCTTCAAAAGTTTTTCCGCAACAGCAGAAATCAGGCCGTTCAAGTAATCAGCCCTTAAGAGGTGCTATATCTTTCGCTTTCGTAGATACGCAGTAATTACTTCTAGGTTGCGCTGTTCCTACATTCAGTGATGTCCTACCAACTTGCCCAAGTTTCCACGCTTCATAACTTTATGAAGGGACACGTTTTCCAAATTGCAAAGGAAAAAAAAAGTGATTTGTTTTTTTTAAAGAGTTGCCTTACTTTGCCCTAAACGCTTGTGGAACTTCACTGTCTATACAGATCCCACCGTTCTGTTCAAATACGGTGGACTACTAATAAGCGAAACTAGTAATAAGCGAAACTATAGAATTCTTATATGGTTCTTAAAGGGAAAAGAAGAGAAAAGTGAGCCCCGTAACTGTCTGCATCTGGTGCGACACCTCAACAGTAGCTCACAAGGGATGGGAGTAAGGAGGGTTTGAAAGGATAGGATTAAAAGGTAGATATAGAGAGAGAGGAAGGAGAGAGCGAGGCGCAGGGACAGCGAGCGACGGAAGTAAAGAAAATATAGGAAAGATGAATACGGTCACAGGAGTCCGAGAACAGGGCACCACTCGACGAGAGCTCTTGTCGGCGTCAGGAGATGGCATAGAGCTAATCTAGCCGGCCAGAGCTACGCTGTCGTCGTCTGGGACCGGCGTCGGGAGGTGGCGTAGGGCCAGCCCAGTCGGCCACAGCTGCACTGTCCTCAGGTTAAGGTACTCGGTTGCTGACCTGCAGGTCGCGGGATCAAATCTTGGCTGTGGCGGCTAAATTTTCGATGGAGGTAAAAATGCTGTAGCCCTGTGTGCTCAGATTTGGGTGCACATTAAAAAACCCCAGGTAGTCGAAATTTCCGGAGCCCTTCACTACGGCGTCTCTCATAGTCATGTGGTGGTTTTGAGACATTAAACCCAGCATATAATATCAGGATGAAGAGCATGAAGAAGTAAACGCATCAGGCACTCTTACTTGAAAGAAGCTTGAAATTCTTAATCAGCTTGATCGAAGCAGCCTGTCCAAGACAAATGTGGCGAAAAAGTTCATCTCAAAATCGACACTGTTGCGGATCTTGCAGAACAAGAATAGGATTATAACCTCTGAAGCTGTACTCAAGGCAGACATGATTGTGGATGAATCAGTCTCGTGACATGTTACAGGACTTAGAACTCTGTACGGTCAGCCTTCACACAACAGGGGAAATTTCACACTAGAAGCGAAGATTTCGGCATTGCTTCTCGAAGATCCCAACTGTGACTTGGGCCTTTTTCGTTCCAGGAATTGCTCTTCGTGGGCTCAAGAAAGAACGCATGATTGGCTCACACTTTATAAATAACTAAAAAAGGAGTTTTTGTTTGGTTCAGACGGGTGCGGAATTCAAAATTCCCCATAAGCGGACCCATTCTGGAGCAGAAGGCACGAAAGATTGGCCTGCAAAGGGGGGTTGAAAACTTTTTAGGCGACAGATGGCTCAGCTGTTTCAAGAAACAACATGGTCTTGTTTTCGAAGCAATATCTAGTGTGAGTGCAGCAGTCAGTAGAGACGTTAGCAGTGACTGGCAAAAGGGGCAGCTTATTAAGGAAATTGTTTAGAACTGTAAACTGTGAGACATTTTTAATGTAAAATAGATGGGCCTTTTTTATTAGGTGCCTCTGTCATCAAAGGCTCTCGCCTTTAAAGATGAAGCCTGCTGCTTTGGAAAACCCTGTAAGGATCGCATTACTGTGCTGGATGGGCTCACATGGCGGGTGATGAGAAATTGAAGCTATCAGTAATGGGAAAGTCAAACCACTCGCGTAGTTTCAAGAGCTGTCGACACTTTCTCACTACGTACAATGTTAATGGAAGAGCAAGGAGTACCGTGGCCATTTTCAAAAACTTGTTACAAGAGGAAGATTTACAAGGCAAGGCAGGGAGGTTGTTATCGTAGATGTTAACCTGTCCATGGCCAGGTTGAAGGACTTAGGTACGTCTTTCGTGAGTTTTTGCCAGGCAACGGAGCTGCAGTAATCTAGCATATAGATCAAGTGGTAATTCAGAACATGAATATTCATTCCAGCACACAGACGCTCCACCGAATGATGTTTGTGCAGACGCTGACAAGTGCTGCAATGTAGATTTATTATCAGCTATTAAAAATCTGGCTCGTGCCTGGAAGCAAGTCCAGGCAACAGAGATGCTTCCACCATGTGAGCTTTCAAGCACGAGAACCAGTACCTCATGAAAAGGGAAGCCTTGCTAATGCTAATGGCCTATTCGATCAGGCCATGCCGTCTGTCCATTTCACACGCCAGACCTTTAAGGAAGTGAATGCTCAAGTTCAAGCAGATGATCAACCCTCCTCCAGGGATGATTGTGATGGCATCATTGCCAATGCAGTGGTGCTACCAGACAGTGCAGCTGAAGTGACTGTTGGACTTTTCCAAGTCTATTTTGAGCGGGAGGCTTGTCCGAAATTTGTTTGGCTGCTTGTCAGCTATCGGTGCTTACTTTGGGAAGAAGCATGCCAAGCAAACCACCCTTAAGTAAGCTAGGGTCCGTACTAATACAAGATATTGAAAATGTACAGCGCCGTCTGTCGTCAATCTCATAAGCTTGATCTGCATGTTTTGTTGGGCGTGAAAACGAAACCAGTCGCATATTGCAGCTTTTTGGGACTTAGCTGCTGGTTATTTATTTTTGTTCTGCAATGACTTTCTAATGCTTCGTGCACTGTTCAGGAAACGAATGAGCCGTGACCTTGTTGGGAAATAGGTAGCACTAAATTCAA